GTGCCTTTCCTTGATTTTATATTGATATTGATTTGCAGGAGGTTGGCGTAGGTTGCTATTTATAGCCCATGCAAGAGTTCCTATTCTAAAATTCGAGAGCAGCTACCTGGATATCTCCTGTGATATCTCAATCAATAATCTAAATGGCCAAATGAAATCCAAATTATTGTTTTGGATTGATGAGATTGATAAACGCTTTCGTGATATGGTTTTACTGGCAAGTTCTTGAAGCAAGTAATGAATTCTGCTGTGGAAAATTTTGCACTTATAATGTATCTTTATTGCAGGTCAAAGAATGGGCCAAAGCTCATGGAATCAATGATTCAAAGGCTGGAACTTTAAACTCATACTCTCTCAGCTTGCTTGTTATCTTCCATTTTCAGGTAAACCTTAATGTAATTGTAAATCTGGTTGATGCATTCTTGTTGCTATTGTGGTACATTATATTATATTTCCAACTCTTCTTTAATGCTTCATGCACTGAGATTTTTTGAGAGAACTACTAATATAATCATATAACCTTGTACATGATCTCTGAACCAGTATACCATTGATCAAACTATGTTGTCCTGTTTGACGTGACCCTGAAGTTTTATTATGATAGTTATCTAGCATGCTTTACACTTGACTAGGGGCTTGCCAATGCAATGTCTGGGATTATATTGTTTTCAAAAATATATTTCTTATGTTTTTGGATTTGTTCAACAATATAATAGACTATAGTAAATTTCATTTGAAAATTTATCTCTTCTTTGATTTCAGCAAAAGCATTTTTAATTCCACATCCACTAATAACAGTGGTATTCGATAATTGTTTTCCACAATGGAATCTGGCAATTAATGAATTTGTGTGGCATGGGAGTAATAAATAGAATATTCTCGCATTGCCACATGGCATGCTAAAATAAAATTAGTTATCTACATGGAAAAACTGTAAAAACTGTAGGCAGTCACGTAACTTCTATTACTTTGTACTATAGCATAGATGTCATATGGCCTTCACATGGATGATCTTTTATAAGGACAAGATGTTAGGAAAGTATGATGCTTTCTACACTTCTTATATTATCAGATAAATATGAAAGAGAGTAGGAAAATGATAAAGAGTAGATAGGAGAACAAAAAGGGAAAGAGGCCAAGGGAATAAGAAGAGAAAAGAGCTGTAACATGAGAAAACGAAACTGATTTTTCTTTTTTTTTTTTTTTTTTTTCTTTTTTGGGGTGTGGGGGGGGGGGGGGGGGGGAAGACAATCAATTTAATTTTCTTTCTTCATATTTGGGAGGCCCAAGTCATTTTATAGGCTAATATTTGTTAGCATCAAGAAAATTTTAGCTACCTTTGGAAACTGTGTAATGGGCACGTACTAGAATTCCAATCCTGTCATTAAAAAGGTACATGTCTATTTAGCCTCAAGTTTGAGCTCAAAAGTTCTATTAACCTCATTTTATTTCTCAGTGGAGCCACCAAAATCTCCACTTCCTTTTTTTTTTTCTTAGTTGTTCTAACTTTTCTTTTCTCACAGACATGTACCCCTCCACTTTTACCTCCTCTCAAAGATATTTATCCAGGGAATCTGGTTGATGACCTTACAGGTATTAGTTGTATCTTTTTTTCCCCCTTCTCTTGTTCCTTTCGGTTCTTGTTGCATTTCTCTCAAATTGTAAAGACAAAATATTATTTAACAATGTATTTATCTATAGGTATTGAATCCATAATAAGTTTAAAGAATCAATTCCTACCATCATAAATCATTAGAAAATTCAATAGTTGGATGAGCTCTGTCAAAAGCTCTCAAAATCTTGTTGAAAGGATTTGCTGAAGGAATGCGGAAAGCATATTTTCAATATTTGCACTAGCCTACAGGTTTGGCAAAAATCTAGTTATCATCATTATTTCTGGTCATTCACTAAAATAGATAATTTTGCAGGACTTGAAGAAGCTCAAATAAAATATAAGCACAAGATTGCATTAACAGCTTATTGAAATTACTGATTATATTCCTTTGTCGGGAATTGTTCATACATGGGCTTGGTTTAACCTTTTTGTCAAAATATTCTCCATGCAGGCGTGAGGGCTGTTGCAGAGGAAAAAATTGAAGAAACATGTGCCAAGAATATAAACAAGTTTAGATCGAATAAGTCTAGAGTCAGAAATCCAAGTACTTTATCTCAGCTTTTTATTTCATTCCTAGAAAAAGTAAGTATTAGCATAATTTTTCACAATATTACAGTGTGTGTGTAATCTTGAAAACCACACCTAAAAAATTTTTACTTTTTTTTTTCTTTTCTTCCCTTTTCTTTTTTACTCTTGCCTGAAGAGAATTTGGTTGATTCTGGATGCCTTAATTACGTATGAATTAGACTGTATAGTAACATTTTATTTCTTTTCTTCCTTTCTTTGTTTGACTTGTGCCCGAACAGAATTTGGTTGATTCTGGGTGCCTAAACTACGTATGAATTAGACTGTATGCTTTCCCCATATTTAATTACTAAAATGCATTCTGAATCTGACCAAATAGGGAGTGCTCTCCCACTCAAGATGGGATTAGCTCTGATGTATTTTCTAACATGTAAGTAGACTTTGGTAAAAATTTTAGTTAAAGCTAACATCTAATGACTACGTCTATAATTTCACAGTTTTCAGACTTGAGTTCAAGGGCCTCAGAGGAAGGGATATGCCCCTATACTGGACAGTGGGAACATATTGATAGCAATATGAGATGGATGCCCAGAACTTATGCATTATTTGTAATCTCTCTCTCTCTCTCTCTCACACACACACACCTGCATGCGCGCACAGAAAAGCACACGCCCACGTGCACACAAAATATAAAAGGAGAAAAAAAAAAAAAAATGAAACCTGGCTCACATTTGGCACTGTGTCTATAACTAACTCTTCCACTTTTATGTTGGCTGTTCAGGTTGAGGATCCTTTCGAGCAGCCAATTAACACTGCCAGAAGTGTTAACAGGGGACAATTAATGAGAATATCAGAAGCTTTTCGAACAACCCACCAAATTCTTTCCTCGGGCAATCAGAATCGAAATTCTCTCATTCAGACGCTTGTGGGGCCACGAGCATCGCAGTTTTTGCTGAGAATGCCACTTAATAACCCAAGTGGATTCAATGGCAGCAATGGGAGGATACACCCTCAGGCACACAGGGCCGTGCACGCACCATCACAAGTGCAACATCAGTTTCAGAACACAAGAGTTGGTAGGCGTCCCAATAATTTAACTGCAAGAAGAACAGTTGGTGCTTCTCAAGTTCAGGGCCCGCAAGTTTGGAGACCAAGATCTGAGAGGTAAATTGGTGTTCAATTAAACTCTGCTTTATAGACATTATAAGGCAGCTAATTGTATCCGGAACCAGGTATGCTGCTTTGCAGTTGAATTATTGATGACCTCTCAACTTGTTTGACAAATTAATAAGAAAAGAAGTTTTGTTTTCTACTTCTACGTTAATTTTCTTTCTTGTGAAAAATGTAAGCAGTGACCTTCAATAGCTGCATCCTTAGCAGAAGTTCATGGGACTTTGTGGTTATTTCCATGAATCATTTTTCCTTGATTATGATTACCAAATATGTTGTTTATCTCTTTTCTCCATTTTCTCTTTAAAATTCTTGTTCTCTTCACTTTTGGAATGAGAGATTTTTGTGATTAGAAGGATTACATTATTTTTTAATAAAAAATGTGAATGTCAATGCTGGTTGGTGAAAGTTGTACAAGGCTGTCTCTATACATTTTTGCAAAGTCAACTTCGCAAATTTGTGAAACGCCAATTTCAGGTATAGTCTCTAGGTTCCTTATGTTTTGGTCCAAATTCGACTTTAATTTCTAAGGCTTAAATTCGCAAAATTAGATCTCTGTAATTCATCAATACAAACATTAATTAATAAGCATAAAATTGCCACTATTACAGGTCATTTTTGTAGTTACCCCGTGATTATGTGCTCTATTTTTTGTACTTCCACTACAGCAAAGCAAAGCCACCATATACATAACCGACCACTTTAACGTCTCTAAAATCAACATTTATTAAGACTCCACTAGCATAATATTAATAATACATACCCTCAACCATCCAGATTAGAAACACAGAAATATATTTACATTATAGCCAAAACCCATGCAACGTAAGTTTATGAAATAGTGGCCCCCGCTAACATAACCGTAGCAGAACTAAACAAGAATCTAGACAAGAATCGAGTAATTAGACAGATATCAACAGAGTAATATGCATTGTGTTATGATCATTCACAATTTTTTCCTAGTAGCACAACTGTGTACATCCTCCAAATTTGCCAGGTACCTGCTGTACATAAATTGTAACTTATACAGGACAAGTACATAAAATCACAGCAAACAACGTGCAGCGTCAGAATAAACATTGATATGATGGCAAAAGGGGGATTGGTTATTTCTCACCTTTAGAAGAAAAATAATTAAGACAAGGAACAGGGGTTTGGTTTGGGGAGGAGAGGGTGGGGGGGGGGGGGGGTGACATAGAGCAGGGGGAGGGGGGGAACATAGAGCAGTTTTCGTGCAACTTTAATACCATGCTGATCATGGCACCAACGTTTGGATAAGAATTCTCATGAAAGGGTAAATCTATGCAGCATGATTTATAGCTCAGCCATCAATTTATGTACAAAATAGATAACATAGAAGGGATTGACCCAACGGCCAAGTGAATACTTTAACCCAAATAAAAAAAAATACAAGCAGAAAGAATGCAGTATCCAAGTTCCTGTAACCTGCATGTATGATTGTGCTTTTACTGGAAGCCCCATCAAGATCTGTCCCACATTAACACTACAAATTAAGAGTAGGCTGTGTTATACTTTTTCTAATCACTGCAGTCAGAATTGAATCAGCATCCGATCTTCAATCTACAGATCGTGTAAATGCCATGGAAATCTTTGTTCCAGACTTTCTTGATCTACCTTTTATCGCAAACAAGGGAGAAGATACTCCGTGTTGATCCTATACCCAGTTCCTTCAAGCCCTCAGTAAGTGTTTATCACATGTCAAGATCCTATAACTTGCATGAGGGCCCTCAGAAGTCTCTCGCAATGCTACTTGCCAACCCATGGCCTTCCCGATTGCTTGAAGCTCGTCCATGACAGAGAGAGTATCGCGGATGTATACACGTCCACCAGGTCTTAGAATTCGATCCATTTCAAGCATAATGGTAGAGATACTGCATCTGATGGGAGAAGACAAGGCAATTAAATACACTGTACTAAAAGGTTCTAGAATCTTAAATTTATCACAGATGAACCAAAAACTGAGATCCGAATGCTCTTCACTTGGTGAATTGCTGACAAGGAGTGAAAAACTACCTTTTTCGTTCAATAGAGAAAAGGCCAGCCGCATGCAATAAATCATAGGTTCTTGGATATGTGTCAAATGGCTCACACCTGTAAGGCAAACGTCACATGTTATACTTGAGCCACGAAGTTCAATTTGGTAAAGAGTCATAATAACCAATCAACTTCTGGAAAAATCCAACACTACCCATTTGTGTACATTTGTAACAGGAATGAGACCTATAAGATCTACAACAGGGACTAACAATAAACACACAGAGCCCAGTAAAATATTAAGAGTGAATAAAAAATAGCTTTTAAAGTTTCACATGTCCTACTGCAACTCCTCTTCCTTGTATCACAGCTACCCTAACCATCCCCAAAACTCCTATAAGGCAATTTCAGCCCTTATTGAGCTATTTTTGGCCACTGCATAGTTTAAAGAAAGCAGCCATCAATCTACAAGTATCAAGAGATTTGAGGTCAGATGTTGATAACTATTTCTGCCTTCTTTGCCTTTTCATGATTTATTTATTTTGGATGGGAGAGGGTTTCATTTTAATATATGTGACTTTGTAGAACCATACAGGTGTGAGATGTGACATGTCCATGAGCACATGCTTGTTTGTGCATTAGTTGCTAGATATACATGGAGTTTTAGATGGTATATATGATGGATGGAGATGAATCTAACTCTTTGCTTTACATATACCATGTTTCATAAAGCAGGGAGAATTCAAACTCATGATAGGCTTTGCTTTGGGATTTAGGAACGAACCTGGTGATTTGAGTTTTCTTTTTCTATATCTTTAATATTTTACCTAAACTGTAAATGTAATTGAATATGTTTCTTCAATGTCCTATCTCTAACAGTAAATATAATTGAATACTTACAGTGATGTGATTGTACACTACATAACTTGAGAAATATTAAATTATGATTGTAGTACCTCACAAATTGTTGTGATTTTGCTTTGCAAATAGGAAAATATATTGCATCTAAAGAATTCTTATATATCACTTATAAATTAGATTAATTTTACATGTTATAGTACAATTTCTGTTATTACTATTTTTTTATCACGACAATATATGACGAGTTATGCTTTGGTTCATAACATTGAATATAATGATTATTGGCCAAGATGATTAGGTTTCTTAAGATTAATTGTCTCAGAATTGTTTTTCCATTGTCCATCATATGATAAGTTATTTACAATGTTAGCACAGCACACTTGAATTATATTGGAATATAACCAAGTAACTGAGTCAGGATAATTTAGTGTTTTTCCATTTATTGTGATAAAATGCTTTTTACAATAATTTATCAATTCCCCCTTTTTTCGTACAAATATAATAGTATGGATGTATTTATGGCCTTTTATGAATAGCCTACACATTTGCTGTATAAAAGTGCCAATATAGTGGGTACAGTACAACATAACACAATGAACCAAAAAGGCTACAAGAAAGGTTGTTAATTTTCTACTCTCTTTTATGTATTCATTTTCTCTTGGACGAGGGCTTGTTCTCACCATACCATTCAGGTTATCAATCATTAATAATTCTGATGGTCCATTTAACAAAGGAAAACAAAATGACTCAGATCCTTATGGCTGTACCATCCAACACAAATTTTTAAGATTAAATTAAGTTCTATTTAGTCAACTCTACATAGTTTACGACTTTTTAGTTGAAAATTTTACTTTCATCTGGTAGAATTATATATTTAATCAGAGCATGTGCACTGTATGTGCTATAATTCCTACTACTAATGAAACAACCACCTAATTAACAATAGATAAAGGGGCAAAAACAACAATCAAGAAATTGGTATGAGAATCATTTGAATTTCTACCAATCATGCATGACTCCCAGAAGCCCACGATCATAGATGACAGGCAAGGTGTTTGGACCACTAACAGGAACCACATTTAGAACCCAGCAATCAATTTGATTATCAATTAATGCTGCTGCAAACCTGCCAAAACAAATAGATTGATCACAAGGAAAAGGAACTTTCTAACAGAAATATCCAATATATTAACTATGTAACTACACAGTTAACAGGGTATAGATAACTTCCATGCAAGCAAGAAAGAAACAAACTGAAAAGGAAGCATAAAAAAATCAAAACAAGGTGTAGATAACTGTCTGATATAATAAGGATAGTGCCCAAATGGGAGGAAAAATTCAATACCCTCCAAAACCAGCTCTCATGTCCAGCACATTTCGAAGTTTCAACTTTTTCCAATGCCAAGCACGGATAAAGCTTGCTATTATTTCCTTCCAGTATCTTGATTCTGCCCTGAAGAGCTCTCTTCTGGATATATATGCATCCATTTGTATGCTCTGCAGCCTGTCAGGAGCCTCATGAAGGCGTGCTGGCCATGTGGTGATATTTGTTCCAGAACCATCCTCAGGTAATCGAGTGATACATGCTTTCATATCAACATACCTAGAGTATTGTATATTTTGATCAGTCATTAAGCATGACTATGGAAACATACAAAGTATTGTTTGATTGGTCATTGTGCCTTACGAAAGGATAAAAAGACTAAATAATAGCATAAACCAGCTTTGTGGCACTAACATCTGAGTAAACATTTCTGGGCAAAAGCATGACTTTCTTCAGGACTGAGTCTTGCATTGAGCATACCTAAATTATTTGCATTCGTCTATACAATAATTCCCGTCTAGCAAATGAGATAACTGCATCCAGAATCTTATTGAGCTAGATCCCAGATAGCATGAATAAATGATAATTATTGCAAAGTTATTATTATTTATCATTTTGATATTATATTTTTCCCCAAATGTGGGCCAAAATTTATCATCATAATTTCATAAAAGCTCTCTCAAAATTGAATTAATAATCAATGTAAAATGTTTCATTTTCTAAAGAAAAAAACTGAAGCTCTTCATTTGTATCAGTTAAGGTATCAGATTCTCAGGGATAATTCCAGGATCTTACTAAATAATGTGATACAGTTCTCATTGTGATGGGTAAATTCATTTACTTCAGTTACAATATTTTTTCTGGCACACTCACACTAAATTTATTTTTATCAATTTTTCCATGTTCCATAAACATAATAGTGCAATAGAATGTCGAAATGCTCACCAAGTTGCATTGCGTGGTGTTTATCACCCATTGCTAATTAGATGAGTTTGGAAATTTTGTAATTAGGAAGAGCCATAGAATTCAGAAGTCTAGTCCACCTTGCTTTGAGCACTATATTTCCATTAAACAACTCCACAAACAAACAAAAATAGAAACAGGGACTCTGTATCCAACCCCAAAACGAAAAGAGCCAGAAAAGTATCCTATGCCATATAAGTGCTAAAACAAGTGCTAAAGATATGAAGTTAACAGGGCTCAGAATCCCAGTTTTAACAGCAGTCACTCGAAACATAAAAGTTTATCCAGCAATTGGTATGCAGAAATTATAGTGACTCTAAGAATCCAAACCCAGAAATATTGATTGAAAAACTAGAGCTAGCAACATCAAACAGATTAGAAATCAAAACCATCAACTGGGATGCATTGAGTTATGTTTTGTCACTAATGGAACACCAGAAATGAGATAGCTAACAACACACCAGACGTTGTCTGGATTGTCATCTGTGTCACAAAGGGGAGGTTGAGTTCCAGCTTCACGACTTAGATAGCAACTGTTGTTGAATGGCTTCTGCCAAATTGCAATATACCCTTCCTTCTTTACAAGGTTCCAACAAAGGCGACTGGTAAGATTAGTCATCTCTGAACACGAAGGAAAAGTAATCAGATAACTGAATTTCAAATCCAATGCAATGTAGATTTAAACAGATTGCAGCAATTTAGACTAAACCAAAAGATGGTTTAGAAAATTCTGATTTCATTACAGGCCAACCTTTGTTAAAATTATTACAAAGAATGGCATGTAACATGCTTGGAACCTCTCCAACTATTTCCATATAAGTACTACACCTTTTTGCGAAATGTGTTATTCACCAGGTTGAGTGCTCATAACCAAATTCAGACTCAGCAACTATTTTATACATGAATTAGAAATACCCAGAAAATAATTCATAATCAACTGGAATAAAGTAGGTTATCAAATTAAAATTAAGGTACACAGCTTTCCTAGAGGATGTGACATTTAGTATTGAAATTGAGAACAGCTTACTGACACCAAAACAAACATAAAGTTCTTCAATTTTTTTTCACACGAGTCCTAAGGTATTGTACCTTCCCACTGTTCTTCCAGCAGCACTTCATGCTTATAAACAGGCTGTGCTGCCCAAGCAAAGTATCCTCCTCCACGTAACATCCTATTGACCTCAAGCAACAAAATTCCATCTTCCAAAAATGAAAGAACAAAAAACAATAAGTACAATAATAAAAATTTGTCCAACAATTGAATGAAAAAATTTGTTTGTAACATGCTATTAAAATTCTTTATATGTTTCCAAAATGATTATCATATTCCAAAAAGAACAGTGAAGACATAAAATGTCGACAGAATAGATAATGAATTGTATAAAAAAGACAAGAATTACTGCACACTGGAGTCATAAATTTGCAATTAAGACAGATTAGATTATGAATTGTTGACAGACCAAAGTTTAACTGTTTGAACCACCTTAATCTTATTTTTATTGCAAGTGTAAAAAGAAAAGAGAGGTTACAATAGGATATGCATGTATTTACAATTCAAGTAAATAACTTTGCGGTGCACAAGACAACTTATTCCATGACAATGTCTTTTAGCTTAGAAATTTAAGGTGATAACTGCCCCACGGTGTAGCATTGGGGTTTTCTGTTCTCTTGCCAACTTGACACTTCACCATGAAATTAAAGAGGCAAATGCAGTCAGTTTATCATCCTTATTACCATTGGAAAACAAGGAGAAACAAAATTTCATAAAAACATTATTTAATATTTGGAGAAAGTCTGCAAAGACACAATTGCAGGAGTATATCTTGAGATCCATACGCTGATGCCTAATTAGTTCTCACTCTAGCCATATAGATAAAATAAAAGGCAACTCCATCCACAAAGCTGCTGTCACTGCAAGATATACTCCACCCAGATAAACACTGGATTAAACTACAAGAAACTAAAGCATACAACACAAAAAGTACAAAATCACATGTAGTTGGGAAAAGGCATAGCTGAGTTGAACTGAGAATTGAATTGTGTTTGAGAGCATAAAGCATACCATCACGAGTCCAATTAATTCTACATCTTGAACAATGTATCAAGTCAAAGGCCTGACTTGGATACAACAACCGCCGAGTTGCAAATGCTGCAACCATAGCAGGCACTCCACGCTCCAGTGCAAACTGGATCTGATTCTCATGTACATCCTTTGGAGCTACAGACATGGTGAGTACATTCCGTGACAGCAAATATGCACCAAAACTTGCAACACCACATCCTGCATCTAAAACCACCCGAGTGCGTCTACCAAATGCTATATCAGGGACCATCTGCACAACAGGACATGATAATCAGAAATACAATGTCCTCTAGCATCACACCGAAAGATTACTGTACTGCTATCCTCAGATAAATTAAAACTCAACAACCTCTGAAATCTGATCCAAATACTGATTCGCGCCATGTATGAACTGTGTGCCGCCTCCAGGAAACTTGAATTTGTCCTTGTCTATTTTTATCCAATTTTGACCCCCTTTGTCTTCAACTAGACGTGCGTGGGGAACATTGCTGAACCATACCTGCAATAGAGCATGGCGGACTTAATTTCCTTGTACCATATCCAGTCTAAAGGCCATTCGCACAGTTGAGTTCTGCTAGCGGAATATTATCAAGTAAATTTATTATCAATTCAGTTCTTCCATAAAGCAACATATATTCAACGGCAAGGAGAAAATAGCAAGCATAGAATGGAATTAGATTTTAAAATACCTCGTCGCGACTCCTTGGCCAGGGGATTGGGGTTCTGTAACCCTTAGGTGGGGGAACCAAACAATTCAATCCCTGACCTTTTTCTGGACAATGACGTTCGAATTTCTCACCTTTCTCAGTAGAATTCAACCGCCGAATAGCCTCCACATTGTCTAAACAAGGTATATACTCTCTCATATTAGCCGGACATAGACCAAATTTCTTAACCACCACTCTAGACCTCCCCCGGCGAGTATCTAGAACGTCCGTCTTGTTCTCATTTCCCCAGTTGTCCACCACATCAGGATCAATTTCCCCAACCTCAAACTCATCCGACATAGTTCCATTCTCGTCCACAATCCCGAACCTCTGCAACGTCGGCGGCGGCGGTGGCGGAGGCGGAGGCGGCGGTGGAGGTGGCGGCGGCGGCGGTGGAGGTGGCGGCGGCGGTGGTGGAGGAGTCGAAGCAACTGGCGCCGGATCCCGCGTCGGCGGAGTTAGAGATAGTGCTTGATCAGAGGCCACTGGGCTTTGGCTAGTGTCGTTGATAAGAGATGATAGATCGAAGGTTTTGTTGGCATTTGGGGACACAGAAACAGTAGGAATTTTGCCTGAGGCGAAAGGCCTCGAGCTGAAGAAGACAAGCTGTTGGTAACCATCGGACCAGTGCTTGCCGAAGTAGAAGAAAGCCGTTGATAGCAGAAAGAAACAAAAGATTTTAATCAATGTAGAGGATTTTAACAGATGCCCGATGCTAAAGGCTTTCATCCTTCAACACCGCCTCCTTCACTCGCTGGATTTGATCTCCCCCTCCTCCCTTCCCTCTCTCTAATAAGTGGACTATAATTATATTACCATATAAATTATATACAAGTTGCGTGGAGATCTGCGTATATCTGCTGAGAGGGAAGAAGACGAAAGGAATAAGCTCTTGCTCTGCTCGCGAGGGAGAGTGAAGTGTTTCGGACGTCGGACTGCCTGGGAGAGCGGAATGCGACAACTCGCGCTGTCATCAATTGCTATGTTGACTGGGCTGTGAGTGAAGAATTGTTGATGGTTAGAACACGTACTAGAAAGCGTAAAACCCGTTAGGTATGTGGGACACGTGGATGGCTAGCGGTGAGGATGTACGAATGTGAAGTGCTACAATGAGAACGTCGATGTGATTCATTCCAAAGGATCGTATGGTATGAGTGCAGCTGCGGCAAGTGATATGCAAATTTATCCACTTTGGCTTAGGGATTAGAGTCCAGTGGTTATCTCTCTCTCTCTTTTTTATTCTTACAAGATAATTCTTAATATATTAAATTTATGAATATGATAATGTCATAGTTATACTTTTTGATATATCTAAAAGAATAATATCGTCATTGTATTATATGGTTGCACAAACTTGCGAACAAAACATTTATACAATTTTAATATTTTAAAATATTTTTTATAAGCAATTGACTTAAACAAATCCATTGATTTCACCAGAGATGGGGATAAGTGCACAAGAGAATCTACAAAATCAGGAGTCATCACCAGCCGAAGGAGATGAGCACTGAGTGAAGGGGAGGCTTTCCTTCATAAATTGGCGCTATCAAGATTCTTGAATTAGCCCCCGTAAAAAGCGCGGAGCACGTGGGATCAATCTGCAGTCTGACAGATTTATACCAATCTTATCTGCTTACACGTGTGCCTCCTAAAAATTTGCCACGAAACAGGGAAAATCTTTTTCAAGTCCATTCCTATGCATTAGTCAGGGGCAAGTCTCCAAGTGTAACCCTATGCATTAGTCAGGAATATTAGCTAGGATAGCCCCTAAACCGTTTATCGTTGAATTTGATAATTAGTTCACTAAGTTAAATTCATAAGTTAAATAAATTATATATAAATTAAATTTTTTAACTTATATAAAAAATAAGTCAAATTAAATTAAAAAAAATTTAACTTATTTGATTCATGATTTAATTCGATATATATATATATATATCACTTGAAATTAGGTATTTATAATTAATTTGTAATGAATAGATTATTCTTTCTTTTGAATTCTTAAATTAATTATGTTTCTTAAAATTAAAAAAATAAACATTATTTTTTATTTTTGAAAATATTAAATATAAAAGTCAATTGTCCTTAATTCATTTTTTTAATGTTAAGAGAAAATTATTGCAATAGCCCTAATTTTGCTAAGTTAATTAAAATGTTTTAATTTATTTTGTAGGGAGGGGCTTCATTATACAAATTAGGGGTTTGGGAGTTAAATTATAAATTTTGAAGGGAGTTGTTAAATGAATTAGGAGAACTAGAGGTCTAAGTAAGAAATTAGAAAATTTGGGGCCTAATTGCAAACTGTTGGGGGTCAAATTGAAAGAAAATTAAAAGGGAGAACCAATTGGGAAGGCATGTGACTTTAGGGGCCAAATTAGAAATGTCAGGAGAGTAAATTGAAAGGAACAAGAAATTGAAGGGGCCAATTTGAGAAAAAACAAAAACCTTCAATTGGCCATTGATTGAAGGTTTTGGAAGCTAGATTTGGATCCAATTGGATGTATTAACTACCTTCGATTAGCTATATAAGTGTGAACACGACTGTTGAAACGCAACTCTCAATCAATTTCCAATTTGGTATCAATAAATGCTTGATTTATGTTTTGAAAAAAACTCGGAAGCTTTACACAGGTGTTGCCGAAAAATTCGCCAATTCCAGTTGGAGAATCTTTCAATCAAGGCTGAATAGCTCCTTGTCAACTTCAGTTTTACTTTTCCCACCCATCAATTAATCAAGGTGAGTTCAAAATTGTGTGATTTTGGCTTGAAATTGCTCGAGAACGCTGCAAAAAAACCAAGGTCTGCTTTTGAGTTGTCAAGTGAGGAAGACAGACCTGAAAAGGATCCAGGTCTGTCCACTTGACTTGGCCGATTTGGCAGAGCCAAACCAGGTTTAGGGCAATTGGTGCTGATTTTTAGAGTTTCCAAGCTAGTTTATGCTAGTTCTACCTAGTTTAGATTCAGGTCAGTTTGGTTCCAAGGATTGTTAATCCAATTTAGGGGCAATTCAATTCGGTTCAAAGATCCTAGTCCAATTTTAGGCCGGTTCTTGGGGTATTCTATCTGGTTTAGGAATTTTAAGTTTGGTTGTAGAGAGTTTTAACCCAATTTAGTTCGATTTTAAAGAGTTTTGGCTTGGTTCAATCTGGTTCTAAAAGGTTTTGGCCTAGTTTAGTCTGGTTCTAAAGGAATTTAGTCTAGTTCAGTCCATTTCTAGAGAATTTTGGTTCAATTCAGTCTAGTTCTAAAAGATTTTAGTCTAGTTTAATCCAATTCTAAAGGATTCTAGTCCATTTCAATTTGGTTCAAGGGTGTATGAGCCCAGTTCAGCCCGGTTCTATGGTATTTGAGGCTGGTTCAAGGGTGTTTAGGTCAATTCATGCTAGTTCGGGTTGGTTTGAGGGTATTCAATATTGGTTTTTACATAAGATTAGTTCATGTCTTCAATTTATTTTGGGTTCGAGTGTTAAATAATGAACCTCAAAACACGTGCCAAGGTTTCAGAGCGGAGTCAATGGTTGGTTTAGGGAACTGAGTCTCTAAGTAATTTAAGTTTCGATTATAGTTTTGATGTTATATCATTGTGGTTACAAACACCCTCAAGACAACATGTTCCAACTGCTAAGATTATTCAGAGATTCTAGTTTTTGACTTTGCCTTGTACTATTGGTAATAATATTTATTTCGTGTATGTATTTTTGACTTTAGTCATCATTTATCTATGTGATATGGGTTAATAATTTTGAAAATTAAACTCTAAGATAGGTACTCAGTTTTGTTAAAATTTACAGTGAGCTATTTGAAACACTTGATTCTAATTTAAAAATTATGCCTGTATTATATATATATATATATTAAAAATCATATATTGGGAGTTACTCTAGCTTTAGTTTCGAGCGAACACGATTGTGTTCAAGCACTATGTGCGATGTGTACGTTACGGTTTTGGTTTTGGTTTTGGCTTAGTACAAGATTCTGATATAATATGTGATATGTGATACCTCTAACTTAATATACTTTGTTGTGAGATGTGTTCAGATGCTAAGCGAGTAGAGTTGGTGGCCTTTAGACTTGGGGGTGTGGCCCAACCCTAGTACAATCAGTTATTGACACTTTGGCCAACTGATGTTGCGGCCATGACTTGGGAGGAGTTTATTACGACATTTTTGAAGAGATTCTTACCTAATAGTATATAGATGGAGCCAGTAGGCAAGTTTGAGAAATTAGTACAAAGGGCTAGCATGAAAGTATTAATGTATGAGGAGCAATTCACTTACCTTTCTCACTATGCTCCGTACCTTATTACTGATGATATCACTCAAGCCACAAAATTCATAAGAGGGTTGTCGCACCCCTTATACTATTATCTAACTCCTTAGATGAAGACATTTACTTATGCTCGAGAGTACTTGAACATATGAATGGGATATAGGGAAAAAAACGAATAAAGAGAGATCTTTTAGTGGCAGCACCAATTCCTAAAGAGGGTTGTCATTTCGTGGTTCTCAACAATCCTCTTTGCGTAGGGGTTTTTCTAGCAGACAATCATCGACCAGTTCCACTACATCTGGCGATTGTACCCCGTCTGCTCTTAGCTGCCCTAGCTGTGGTAAGGCATATTCTAGACAGTGTCATCAAGTGACAAGGGCTTATTTTAGATGTAGCCAATAAGGCCATTTGATCAGAGACTGTTTGCTTTTACAAGAGCTACCGAAGTGACTACTCAAGTAATGGGGGCTTACTACCAGTGTGGCCAATAAGACCATTTGGTCAGAGATTGTCCAATTCCACCTGAGGCTATACAGACTGGAGGATTCGTATCGCAAACATAGGGATAAACCAGGGGAAAGTCATTTGGCTCTTGTGATCGAGGGGCAGGAGGTAAAGGTCGTGGCAGGGGCTAGGCATGGGTTTATGCCTTGACTTGACCAAATGCTCAGGCGTTTAATGATGTAGTTATAGTTATGATTTCTATATGCTTGCATGAAACTTATGTTTTATTCGATTTGGGCTCCACTTATTCTTGTATGTCTGTGAGGTTTTCCACCCGATTAGAGAAACAACCAGAATCGCTAAAGCATCCATTTTTAGTGGCAACTCCTGTTAAGGACTACGTTTGGGTAGTGTATGTGTACAGATCTTGTCTAATTGACAAAGTTGGTAGAGAGTTTATGGTTGATTTAATCCTTTTATCTATGCTGGAGTTTGACATAATTCTACGGATGGATTAATTAGTCTTGTGTTACGCTACAGTGAATTGCCGACTTAAGATAGTGAGTTTTGATATGTCGGTTGAGGCACTGTTTGTATATTAAGGTGACTATTCTATGACTCCAACTCCTATCATCTTGTTTTTGAAGGCTTAGCAGTTACTTAGTCAAGGATGTTAAGAATTTTTGGCGATGGTTAAGGACACGCAAATTGAGAAACTATGATTGTTAATGAGTTTTCAAATATGTTCGCTGAAGATCTACCCAGTGTGCCTCCCGATAGGGAGATAGAGTTTTGCATCAATTTGCTACCCAACTAGCCCAGATGGGACTTGTTAAAAACCAACCCGAATTAGATTGACAAGATCTAGTCTGATTTGGTTCTGAACCATGAAGCTACAAAGGCTGATTACAATTCATGAATTTTTGAACCGGAACCAAAACTGTAACCAGAACTGTGTATGAACTGTTGAACCGGAACTTGATTGAATCATGTAACTTGAATCGGTTTTGAGCTGT